ATATCTCTCAAAGATAATCAATAGTGCTTAACTCACTAGACAGAATATAAATTGCGTACCTTAGACCCATGGGGGTGCCTTTCTTTTATAGTTACCTCAATTCTAATCCCAATAGAAGCCTGACTTCTATGAATTCCTGTTTAGTACTTACTTTGGACTCCTCAAGAGATAAAGATAAACTCCCTAAGAGCTTTATCCTTATCTTGGTTAAGTCTCCTCTTTATTCTAGGACTCTTATCCGTTATCCCTTATCCGTTTATCTCGGATTCCGATATCATCGAAGATAACCTCGGCCTAACCGAGATGACCTAGGCATAACGACCAGGACATGTGGCATCTCGGCTGACACGTCGGCGTCATCTTGTCACGTGTTGGTACTCAGAAAATATATCCCCACAAATACTATTTATAGTATTACTAATCCGATAATAAACAAATAATATTTTTTTATCTTATGTATCTAATTTAATACCATCACACTAATAGTCACTCACTCAATCACATCATATTCTTAATCCCCTAGCCAAACATGGCCTGCGAGTGTTGTGGACTGTCACATATCAAATGATGAAACATGTTCTCAAGTTCTGCTCTTTTGTCTTTTTCCAATCATGGCTCCAAATCATGGAATGCAAGTTGTTAAAATCTCTCCATTCTGAATAATTTTTGCGTTTTGTAGAATTTTAGAATTATGATTTAATAATAGAATTATATTTTAAGTTTGTGAGTTTTGAAATGATGATTTGAGTGTAAAAAATTTGTTTGGTTATGAGTTTTAAAAAGAATTTTAAATTGAGTTTAAAATTTTTGATGTGACATATGATATTTGATTAAAAAACTTACAACTTATAACCAAACACACAACTCAAAATTATATTTAAAACTCATAAAAAAATTCAAAAAAAATCATAATTTTTTTATTTAATATATAAAAAATAACAGGTGCCAATTGCAAAAAATAAATAAATAATAATAATAATAATAATAATAATAATAATAATAATAATAATAATTGCACTGTACAAATGGATATTCAATCAACATTTCATTTCCTCATTTCTCACAATTAATTATCCCAATTAATCAAACAATGTAATTAGGTCATTTTCCATAATTAACATTTCAACCCTTAGGTCCCATTTTCATCAATGATTCAACATTTATTCCATTTCTCTATGCCAAACATGCATCTAGGTTTATTATGAATAAAACCCCAACTTTTGTAATATAACACAAAAGCCCCAAACTTTCACCAAATTACCAAACCAACCCCAGCATCTCAAAATACTAAAATTTAAAGACAGAATCCATAGAGAGGAGTAGGATATCCCTACCTCGAAGTTTGAGCCCAAAAGGAGATGAAGACTCGAAGACCAACGTGCTCCAAATCCAAACTTTTTCAGATTAAAACAAAGCTCTCAATGCCCTCTATCTTTTCAACAAAGGCTCTAGGCTAGATTCACACCCTAGGGAGATCAAATCTTAGAGAGAGTGTAAGTTTAGAGAGAGAGAGTCTCGGATCTAAGTTTAGATCAAAAAGAAATGAAAAAGTGATGTTTAAAATCGCTACTGCCCGCTGATATAACACACGCTCGCTCGAGCGAAGACTTGGTCGCTCGAGCGACCAGACACAGAAATTCTCGCTCGAGCCAAGGAACTCTCGCTCGAGCCAAAAACTCAAAAGTGCGCTCGAGCCAAAGAATGCTCGCTCGAGCCAACAACTCGACCCTTCAGGTCTGCAACCAGAAGCACGCTCGAGCGACCAACTACTCGCTCGAGCGAAGAACAAACCAGACCGCTCGAGCCAAGAAAAGCTTGCTCGAGCCAGAAAACACAACTCTCAGGTCCAGAACCAGGTACAAGCTCTCGCTCGAGCGAGGCCACTCTGGCTCGACCCACCAGACACAAACTCAACTCTCGCTCGAGCGACAAACTCCTGGCTCGAGTGAAGGACCAAAAATCTGGGCAGCAACACTAGGCTCCCAAGCACAACCAACCTGTAACAAACCTGCCCAACACATCCCATAACTCAAAATACAAAGTAAAGAGGATGCAAACTAGGAAATAAACAACTACCAACATTCACGGACACATGTCCGGATCACTGTACAACAAGGGTAAACCCGGGATCGCTATAAGAGTAAACCCAGGTTCCCCCACCCACCCACCTACCAGTAATTTCTCATAGTAATTAGTTTTTTTGTGGTAAAAAACTACTACATAAAAACTAGAAAAATTTACCCATAAATCTTATATGGAGGAATGCTGATCCATTTAGTCTTAAGAGTTTTCTTATAAACTAATTAGTTCTTTTTTGTTTTGGAAAGTTATATTTATTTGATTTAGTTCCATTTAAGTTAAGTGAATGTCCTTTTGTGATTCAATCTTTCAATTTTCTTATTTGTTTTTTGGATGGGAACGAAAATGTGAGGTGTAGAAGATTCTTTTTGGGGGGATTGATGACTGAAATGTTGGTTATCGAGCGTGAAAATCTACATTTTTGTTAGTGTGTTTTCTAGTGTTACTTTGAAGTGTTACATTAAAGTGCTATATTTAGAAAAAGTACACTAAAGAATTTTTGTATGTTACATTGATTGGAATGTTACGTTTAAGAAAAATGCACTAAGAAATATTTTTAGAATTTTACGTTGCTACGTTTGAGAAAAGTGCACTAAGGAGTTTTTTAGTGTGTTAAATTAGAGTGTTACGTTTTTGAAGTGTTCATTGAAGTATTACGTTTAGGAAAAATACACTGAGGAGTTTTTTTTTGATTTTTTGAAGTGTTACGTTTAGTAATTTGAACATTATGAAAAAAACCCATATTTGTCCCTCAACACATAGCACACACGCATTTATGCTTGACCCTTCATGTAGTTCATACTAGAATGAGACCTTTCCATAAGGAAAAGAGAGAAAAAAAAAAAGAAAAAAAAAAGGGAGGGCTAAACAGTTCATAAGCTCACTATTTGAGATTTATTGGCACTTTACTCTTATTTGATTTGGTGCCATTTGAGTTAAGTGAATACCCTTTTATGATTCATTTTTTTATTTTTTTTTTATTTTTTCATTCGCTTTTGGGATGAGAATAGAAAGGTAAGGTGTGGAATATTCTTTTATAGAGAAATTGGTGGCTGAAGTGTTGGTTGTCGAGTATGAAAATCTATATTTCTATTAGTATGGTTTTCTAGTGTTTCATTGATTGAAGTGTTACGTTTAGGAAAAATACACTAAGGAGTTTTTTTAGAATGTTATATCTGTTATTACCTTTGCGAAAAGTACACTAAGAAATTTTTTAATGTATTACATTAAAGTGTTACGTTTAAAAAAAGTACACTAATTTACTCATCAAAAACCTACAATCAAGATTGAAATTATCTGTTGTGTGATGTCTCCTCTATCTGCTAAGTTTGTACCTTGTACACAATATTTATTTGGTTCATTGTACAAAATATTAACTTTCTTCTCTTTTTCACCTTTATTTATTTTCTTGTACAATTAGTAGGTGGAGAATACGGGACATGGAAGTTACATCTAGTAAACAACTAAGACTCAAACTTAGACATCACACCTATATATATATATATATACCAATTTGTTTTGATGTACAATTTTTTAAATTTTTTTTTGACATTTTTTAAACAAATATTTTTTTAAGAAATATTCAAAATTTATTTTCAAGTTGTTGAAAACCATTTTAGCACAAAAATGAAAACAATATAAAAATACAAATTTTGTGTAGTTTTTATTAGTTTTGCTTTGCAAAATATGAAAAACATAACCAACATTTATGATTTTGAGTTTTAACACATGAACTTATTTGTGAGAGAGCACAGATCCAAAAAAGGGAAGAAAAACATGAAATAAAGGAAAAATAATAATGTAAAATATATTTTAAAAATGATGTCAAATTGAGTTGGAAGTTTATGGGAAAACCTTGTTGAGAAACTGAGCCTACAAATTGCACCAAGCACAAATGTATTTATCTTAGCATTATGGGCTTGTTGGGATGTGATTTTTTTTAGTAATTTTTAAATTAAAATATGAGATAAAAAAATTAATATGTTTGAATTTTTTTTTATTCACCTTTTAAGAAAAAACATGTAAAATGTAAAGTGAAAATAAATTTATAATTTTTTCGTATAACTTTTGTAATGCCCCGAAAATAATGATAACAGTCCTCACAACTCTTAACAGATATGCGAAAGCTTACTAACATTAATCTTTCAAATACCATTACCATTTCTGAAACTATCGTTCATTCATTTATATGATTTGACCATTACAAAGACATCACATGTATTAATACATTCACCACTCCTAGATAATGAATCTATAGCATGTGACCGATACATAAGAACAACAGAAATAATTACAAGTTTCCAAAATAATACTTAGTTACAACAAAGATGGGTCAAAACTCAATACAAGAAAAGCCTTAGGCTTGTACAAAATACATTTACAAACAAAAATGAAACAAACCTTCAGCTCTATAGTCCTTCCAAGCTAACCCCTTGGTGGAGACAATTTATCAGCACCTGAAAGTTGGTTTCTACATAGGGTGAGCTAAAATTCAATAGAGATGAGTTTAATGATTTGTATGACGCTTAACAAAGTCATATAATGAATGCACATGAATGCCATTACCAAAACATGCATTTTTCTCTTTCAAACAATGTAATGCCATGTTTATATCACATTTAAATAACTGTTGCTTCCAAAATAGAAAACATGGTAGTAAATACACACACTGAAAATCTCTAGGTATGTATCTGCAAGTAGCCTATACAGGCACTACCAAAAACCATTTTACTAATACTAATTGGTAGGATCAACACCTAACTGCGTGGGTTTCTAAACTTTTACCAAGGACACAAAGGCCAATATAAATAACCACGACCACACCCTCTAACCAAATTCACCACGGTATTTACCCTTTTTTTTTCTCTCAAAATGATACTTTTCAATGCGATAAGTATAAAACCTATGTTCAAATTGAATCCATGTGTGAATGGGTTTCCGTTCACCTAGTTCACCATGGAAGTGGTTCCGTACTTGCTTGTCCAGAATGTGGTAGGAAACACAAAGGTATCTGTTACCGAGTCTCGGGTGCTTGTTTTCGATGCGGTAAAACTGGCCACATAGTAAAAGACTGTCCGCTCATAGCTAAAAATGTCAACTGTCCTGCGGCAAGTTCAACTGAATCTACTCTTGTATCGAGATCAAATGTGAGAACCATTGCTGGGAAAGAAACCCTAAGGCAAGGTCGAGTTTTTGCGCTTGTACCGAGAGATGTCCAAAATACTGAATTTGTGGTGTCAGGTATACTCCCTATTTGTGCTCAAAATGCATATGTATTAATAGATTCTGCTTCTACACATTCATTTGTGTCGTATGTTTTTTCTCAAAAATTAACTAGACCACTAGAACCTATGAATTATTTGTTATCTGTATCTACACGTTCTGGGGGTTCTATAGTGTGTGCTTATGTGTGTCCTGCGTATGACATCATGATTGGGGATGTGTTATTATATGTTGATTTGCTGCCATTAGACATTGCTCATTGTGATTGTATATTGGGTATTAATTGGTTGACTAAGTATCATACAACTATTGATTGTATGAATAAATCTGTTGTCTTCTGACCACCTGGCTTGTCTGAATTTGTGTTTGTTGGGAATGAGATAGTTTCACCTATGTATATGATTTCTACTGTGAAAGCCGTTAAATTGCTTAGAAAGGGATGTAGGGGTTATTTATGCAGTGTTTTAAATGTGACTTCTGATAGTCCTAATGTGGAAACTATTCCTGTAGTCTATGAATTCTCTAATGTCTTCCCAAATGAACTACCTAGGGCTCTAATTGATAGGGAAATTGAGTTTACTATTGATGTAGTACCTGAAACCCAGCCAATTTCTAAAACCCCTTATACAATGTCAACTTCTGAATTGAAAGAAATGAAAATTCAACTACAGGAACTGTTAGAGAAGAAGTTCATTCACCCGAGCACTTCTCCTTGTGCTGCCCCAGGTTATTAGTTAAGAAGAAAGATAGGTCTTTGAGGTTATGCATTGATTATCGAGAATTAAACAAAGTAACTGTCAAGAACAAATATCCATTACCCCAAATAGATTATTTATTTGACCAACTTCAGATAGTCCAAGTGTTTTCAAAGATAGATCCTAGATCCGGGTATCACCAATTGAAAGTTAACGTAGAAGACATAAAGAAAATTGCATTTTGGACTAGATATGGGCACTATGAATTTCTGGTAATGCTGTTTGGGGTAACTAATGTGCTTGCAGCTTTCATGGACTTAATGAATAGGGTGTTCGAATAATTCCTTAATGAATTTGTTGTTGTTTTTGTTAATGATATTATAATTTACTCCAAAAGAAGGGAAAATCATAAAAACCATTTAAAAGCTGTGTATCTGCCACGCGTTTGTATAGGTCACGTGTTAGCACCCGTCTGATCGATCTATTCTGTCCAAGTGATCTATCTGTGAGTAAGAATTCTGTAAAGCTATATTTGATTATGAGTATTTTCTGACTGAAATGATATAATCTATTTTTTGAAATGCTATTTTGTGAATCATGAATGAATGTCTAGTTTTCTGAAATGTATTTGTGGCATTCTTATGCTCATGTGGCCCTTGTCCGACGGTAACAATATTGTGGTCTATGTTTATGTGGCCTTTGCCCGGGGGTAACAATACCGAGACTTATGTTCACGTGGCCCTCGCTTGTAGGTAACAATACCATGGCTATATGTGCACAAAAATGTTGACCTTTATGGTCGTCGATACTAAGTATGTGGGTCTTTATGACCAATCTGACCTGTTAATTAATGGATGTGCCATATATAACCGTTTATGAAATCTGTATGAGCATGTGAATCTGAATCTGTTCTAATCTATAATATGATTTTTGAATCTGTTCTGGACATCAGTTATAAACCCTTTACTTTGTTGTTATTTACTAGGCGCTAGCTCATTGTATTATTTATGTATGTAGGTGATCAAGTGCGGGACCAGGCTTAAGTTATTGCCTGGAATTCTGTTTTGTCAAGCTAACCACAGTGCCTTCCGAAGAGGTTCCCAAGTGTTTCAAACGTAAAATTCAAGTGCAAGTGGTGTCTGTTTTATCTTTTCCTTTCTTTTGGAACAAGACTTTTGTTTAGAATGTATAAAAGGCTAAGCCCCGCTTTGTTTTGTCTGTTTTTGGGTGACGTAAGGCTTATGTATATATTTATGACGTCACATATATGTGAATATAAATTTTAAATTTTCTATCTCATATATGTCTGTATAGCTCTATGGACATTATTTACTTAAATAATTGCTTCCGCTAGCCCCTTATTTTGTTAATCTGTTCAGAGACCTTCGATAATCCCAAGATTATTGGCCGGTTACAATACTAAACCTATAGGAGCGGGTTTGGGTCGTGACAATCGGGCTCATACGTTTGAAGTATATAAATGTGAAATACATGATAAACCCCAGAAAGCTTAGGCTATAAGTCCAAACGATAAGTTACCTTCCTGATTCGCTCTAGAATCTCGCGAGGCTTAATGAACATCAGAGGCAATTTTCCACTCTTCCCAAATCTCATCAAATCACGTTTCAGCAAAATCTTATGACAGCATATGAGGGAGAAGGAGGGTGGCAGAGGGATTTGGATAATTCAAGAAATGATGAGAGAGAGGAAGACGGAGTGAGTTTGAATCTATAATTTGAAATTTGGGGTCAAAATGTAATTAATTTTTTTATTTAAATGTGACGGGTGTGACAAATTGATACGATTTTAAAAATTTTGAAGATAAAATTAAAATTATTTTAAATATGGAGGTATAATTGATCATCATGACAAAATTTAAAGGGTAAATTGATTTTTTTTAAATATATATATATATCTATATAATAAGGGAGAAGGGTTTTTGAATCCTGATGGGACTTTTGTTTATATGTCAAAATATGCACCATTAAATTGATTCAATCTAATAGTTGAAAATGTCTCACTCCTATTTGGATTTTTGTCCCTTGTCAAAATATAGGCCATTGGATTGATTCAATCAAAGGCTGAAAATTGAATCCAAAATGTAATCACCCTCTCATTCTCTCCCTCACCCACACCCCTCTCATCTCTTTCTGGTTTCAAAATTTGAACACACGTCTCTCTCTCTCTCTCTCTCTCTCTCTCTCTCTCCATCGGAGCCCATTCCAGTGCTTTCCTGTCGGAGCCCAACCCTTGGCAGCGACCGAACCCTAAACCCCCTATTACTCTCTTCATCTCCTCTCTTCTTCCCTCCGTCCCTCCCTCCCTCTGCCATCCCAATCATCATCAACAATGGCAGCCCCAAACCCGCTTCAATATTGACGAATGGAGCCACTGCGCAAGGGTGTTTTGATTTTTCAGGTGAGCAAACCCATCTTTGGGGAAAATGGAACTTGGGCTTTGATTCAATAATGTTTATCTATACAATGGGGACTGATATATATATATATATATGCATTTGTGTGGGCTTTGATTCAATATATATATGCATTTGTGTGGGCTTTGATTCAATAATGTTTATCTATATTTTGAATTTGTGTGGGCTTTGATTCAATATATATATATATATATATGCATTTGTGTGGACTTTTGAAATTAAGGTGATGGACTCCGACAGGGAAGCACCGACAAGGAAGCACCAGAAAATGTTAAGGTGTTGGACTGATATGCATCTGTGTAGGCTTTGATTCAATATATATATGCATTTGTGTGGACTTTTAAAATTATGGATTTGTGTGTATTTTATATATATATGCATTTGTGTGTATTTTATGGATGTACAGGGATGGATCCATGGTTTTTTTCAATTAGGCCAAAAAAACTTACATAGAATCTTACACGAAAAGTCAGAAACAAAAGAAAAGTGTTTCTCTTAGTTATATGCATTTGTGTGGGCTTTGATTCAATAATGTTTATCTATACAATGGGGACTGAAATTATGGATTTGTGTGTTTTTTATATATATATATATATGCATTTGTGTGTATTTTACGGATGTACAAGGATGGATCCATGGTTTTTTTCAATTAGGCCAAAAAAACTTTACATAGAATCTTACACGTAAAGTCAGAAACAAAGGAAAAGTGTTTCTCTTAGTTTATATCATCTGTTTGGATTAGTGAATAGGGGAGACATTGGTTTCTTCTAAAACCCTCATTTTGAATTTTGGAGAAAAAATAAAAAACACCGTCACTTATAAAATTTTGTTCTTATGATATTGATTCTTTTCTCTCATCCAAGGGTTTGCTTGGAAATTGTTTATTTTATTTTATTTTGTTTTATTTTTGTGGATTTTTAATTATTTACGAAAAGACTTATGTAAAATAAATAGAGAGAATGCATTGATTTTTTGTGTTATTTTTTGGCTTTTTAGCTAATTTTCCTATTCGGCAACAAATTTAACCAAAATAAATAGGAGTTAACTTAATAGGTTGATAGAGTAATCTATTTTGTTTACTTATTGATGTGACACTTAGGGCATGTTTGATTAGTAGTATTATAGTATAAGATTGAGATTGTTAGTTCATGGACTCACAATCCTATGTTTGATTACAAGTTTTATTAACCGGATTCAATCTAACGAAATTAGTGAATATTGAGAGAGGTTGGGGATCATAATTTCAAATATAAAACAAAATAAAATAAAATAAAATTCAATGAATACATAATAAATGGTTATGTCATGAATTTGATTGGATAACGAATCCTTCACTAATTCATGAGATTATTAATCATTTTATTATTAATAGGGTTCAGGCACTGGACTGAGTTCTTTAGGCAGTGTAGTTAATCCAATGTAAAATTTTCATTGGTTTTTTCTTAGTACATGTTATAGAGTCCAGAAAATTACCAATATGATGTACATAAATGCTTATCTTAAAGCAATGACGTGGGATGGAATGAAATTGTAAGGTTAATTATCTTAAATGCTTTACATATTATTAATAGGATTCATGAATTAATCTTCGTTATTATTTTTTAAATATATTATTTAAGGCGCTAAATTGAAATCTTTAGTTAGATCTTCAAATGAAATTTAAAGTATTACGTTATTAAAGTGGTACTATTTCAGATTTTGAGTTTTATTTATTGCATAAAACACCTATTCATAAAAAATGGTAAGATTTATTAGTTTGTAAAATTGGTAACATTGGTAATATTCAAATTTCATTTACAAATAACCTCTACAAATAACATGCTATTAAATGTCATTAATTACACAACCAACAAATCATTAATTATTGTTTTATTCCACTAAAGAAGAATCCGGTAGAAATACTGTTTAGGTGAGCAAACAATGGGGAAAATGGAAACCTGGGCTTTGATTTTTCTTGAGTATTTCAATAATGTTTCAATAATATTTACTCTAATTTTTGGATATCTTTTGTTTCAATAATCTTAATTTCTAGCATGTTTCAATTATCTTTTGTTTCAATAATATTGACAGCAGGTTTGTCCAATTTAATTGCTTTATTGATGTTTACAGTTTGTGATTGAAACATTGTGTTTGAAGCATTGTGGACTTCCTTAAGACCTGTCATATCGAAACAAGGTAGAGATGTGGCAAGTATGGAAACCTGGGCTTTGATTTGATTATTGTTATTTTGTAATTATTTCTTTGGTTCGTTGTGTAGGAAATTTGTATAAGTCTAGTTTTTTTTTTTTTTTCCTTCTTACAATTATCATTATTTGAGTTTATTAAAATCAAATTAGGGCGAGTGGGGTAGGGGGGGCAAGAAATCAACTATATTATATGTTTTTTTTTTTTTAAACATTTTGTCTGAATTAAATCTAAAGCACATTTCCTTTTTCTATTTCAACAAATAGGCCCTTAACAGAATTATAGAATTCGTAAGTTGAAGATTAACAATTTGCCAATTTGGTATGGATTTTTTCTAAATCAATTTCTGAAATTTGATTTCTTCTTACTTAAAGATTAACAATTTTTTGTGTTTCTAATATAATCACTATTTGAAAGAATA